CATAAAAGAAAACGGCATTTTCAAAATTGTTTACTATTGATGATAATAATAATACTTCCAAGGGTTAATGTTTCCCGATTGGACTCAGTAGTAGTAGTAGTAGCTCAATGGCTAATGTTTTTGACGTCTTTAAAAGGCAAGGGTTCTGGGTTCGAGTCTCTCTGTGTGTCTGTTGAACATCAATATTTCGATGCTGATGTATTTGAATGATGAGTCCTAAAGTAGGATGATACACGCGTCTTGAGCCACTATCTCACTTTGCTAAACCATTATAATTGTCTAGCCCTAAATACCAATTATGAAGTATTAGTTCCTTCAAAAAGTTTCAATATACACCTTGTAACAAGTATCATCTAATTAACTAACATACAAATACGGATATCGATTTATTTTGATCATAAACTGATGCAAAGTGTGAACCACTCGAGGGGGGGTCATTAGACAGTTGTCATTGTCGCAATTCCATTAAGGTTTAGCAACGCACTTACCTATGATTGATTTTCAACACCGTTCCCCTCAGATGTACTGTACTTGCAAGTCTAAATAAATAAGTTTGTCCTGGAAATTATCATACAGGATAGATGGATTGTAGCTAATTGAGTTCAGTTGGCCACTTATCAGTTGTATTGATATACCTGTATCACAATGTTGGTCTCAATTCCATTGGAACCTAGATCCAGTAGCTTTCATTTCAAACGCACAACTCATTTCCCACTGAGCTACTAATCGAAATTTCATCAAGGTTATGAACAGTGAGCTAATTCAAATGCTTTCTGGTAATTGATATGAAATGTATACTTGTTTCCAGATATTATCAGGTTGATACAATAATCAATGTAACATGTAATGGAGAGAAATATTTATGTACATAAGAGTAAATAATTTAGAAAGATGTAAATGTTAGATAATTTTTACGGTACATTTATCCCTTGTGAAGCAACATTTGAAAATCCTGGTAACAGAAGTAGGATGTCATGTTTAAATGTGAATTCGTGTAGCAATGAACAATTTTAGTGTCGTTACAGCATATCTTATCTCAACATAGTGCACGCAATGTCGAGTTACCTAGATTGTTGGCCATATTGCAACTCGATCGATAGGATTCGATCTGCACTCATAACGATTTGACATACATGACATTCATCACCACATAGTGACCAGTCAATTGTAGGTGGTTTATATGTCCAACTAAAATCGATTCACGAGACCATATCTCAATGGTACCGTTAGATAATTGCTTCACATCTAACATGGTTGAATTCCATTGATCATAGATTCTTGCTAAGTCTCCATGAATTATCTCTCAAAATTAGTCACTATTGAACAACTATCGATTGCTTCCTGATTTTAAATAATTGATGTAGACCATTAAAAAAGTTATCTTTAAGGTTTAAGGGGTGCTCGAAATATGTATACATAAATAGGTTCCAATAAGTGTATTAGCAAATGTTCATCAATTCATACTTTCATCTAATCTCTTTGATATCTTTGGTCAAAAAGGGAGATCATTCTCAGTCTGAATTGATCGGTGATAACGTGTCTGACTATGAAGCTTGGTAACGTAGGTTATAATTCTATTGGGAGTGTCAGTTCCCTCAAGATTACAAGTATATCTTTGTGAAAAGTGGTAACTAGCACAAAACCTAAGTCATTATAGGGTTACTTGATTACCTCAAAAAAACTACCTTATATCTCAGCATGGTGCACACGATATTCAGTCATTTAGACCAGACACCACATTACAACCTGAATGATAAAAATTCGATCAACACTCAGTGACTAGACAAATACCATATTGGCCACTACTCATTGATTAACTAATTGCAAATATCATGTTTTACGGTTATAAAGTAGCAGAGAGTAGACAGTTACTCAACTGTAGCACAAGTGAATACAAAACGAAAGGGAATTTTGTATCTGTGCCAACATTTTGACACTATGCACAACCTCTTCATTGAGATCAGTCTGATTATGTGTATATATGTATGAAAGGTCATAAGTTTTACTCATGACATATGAAACTGTTATTTGACCTATAAAATGGATGAAGATTAACTTTTTCGACAGAATATCACACTACTCAAATCCATAAGTAGCATAAGTGGTATTATGTTTTCGTTAACGTATATTGATTACATCTGTTTATTTGTATGTATATTGTATGTCCTAGTTTTTTCCATTTAATCATCATTCACTTGTCTACTATTTATTCATGTTACAATGTCTTAAACTAGGTGTCGGCCAGTCGCGGTTAATCAGCTGTTGTATCGAAAATAAATTGGTTTTAATCTAGTTTACGTCATTTCAGTAAACCAAACTGTATGTCTAGACAGATAAATCTCATGTTTAGAAAACAGAAACCGGGTCAAGGTCAACGGATGTGTGCATGTTTGTTTACTTGTTCGTTCGTTTGTTTGTTTATTGTTTGTTTGTTTGTTTGTTTGTAGTTGGTCCGCTTTACAGACATCCATTTATATTCTTATAGAAGAAAAAGGATAGAAAGTGTAGATTGTGTACAAAATTGAAACATATTTAGCGTTTAGTTTCTCTCAGTTTGTTACAATTTCGAGATAGACCACATATACAGGGACAAATGCACATACACAAATCTGGAGTTAATATAGGAAAACAATGTAAACAATAGGAGGAGGAGAAGGAGGAATAAGAAGCAAACTGAATGATTTTTATAGTTTAAAACATGATTAATCAATTGTTTGTGTGTCTAGAATTAGAACAAATAAGTTTGGACAGTTTAATTAATTAATAAAACCACCCAAGAATTAATATTAGAAAATCAGAATTAAGAAAGCATATTTATAATATTCATTAAAAGTTGGATTCGTGGTTAGTAACAGAAAATAGAAGGGGTGTTTCGTTCTATCTGGGACTCGTCAACTGGATAAACTTGTATCTCAGTGTTGATGTTCACACTAATTCTGGAACACAATACTTATCACTTTAAATGTTCAGCGTGCTATGCACTTAGCTGTTGATTCTAAATATTCATTAATTTATGCAACAGGTATGAATTTTATTTGTAAGGGCTTGTGTTTTCACGTTGTTAATGTTAGGGCTTGTAATTGTTCAATCTCTATTGTGTGTATGTGTGCAACCTGAAAGGGTTGTCTCGATATTCATTTGGTCAGTTAGTCATAAACAATTAGAACCTGATATACGTGTTCATCGGTTCAAGTTACCATATCACATTAATACAGTGAGATGAAATTATCGATTTTCAAAAGGCATATTTTATACTCGTAACAATCAGCATCTGCCGTTTACTCATCTTCAGTTGCGAAAGTTGTTCACCGATTTGACTGATTGGAGTAATTTCTGCAAAGTATTTTTCACCCTAAAGACTCCAGATGGAATTGCTGGTTAAATTGATATAACAATTTCTATCTATCCACCATATATTCTGACCGTAGATGCTGATTTGATGTGGTTGTCAGGCTTGTCTATTGTGATGACTCAGTCTAGCTATATTGGGTGGAAAACATGTTCTTTTAGGTTCTGCCATGTCAGGGATGTCGGTTGGATAATGGTAAGACTAAAAGTAGTAACTTAATGTCCGAGAGTGAAGTTTCACTAATGACTGTGGGAGGGAGTTGACAACAGTGAGGTATTTCCCTCAGACAACCAGCATCTGAAACAATGCCGAACCAAAACATGACACCAGGTTATGAAATCACTGACAATTAGACTAAGCCATGTAGTTAGGTGTAGACTACGTGGTTGTGATTGGCGTGATTATCGTAACCAATGATTGGAGATTGTGGATAACATGATTCAGAATCGTTTGAGATGATGTAAGTTCATTAAATCTTCATCTTCTCTTAGATTGTAAATTTTTGAATCCGTGATAATTTTTTTGTTTGGAATCGTATCTTCTATGTCTGACCTTTTCAATTATTACATCTACTACTCCGCGCTTCGCAGGTACGAGGTTCTACGTTGAAACTAACTGACTGACTTATCTATTATATATGAAATGTTTAAATTCCAGTGTATTCATTAGACTATCATTGTTTCTGTCTTCAAAGATTGATAGGGAAGAAAATTATATCCCGTATATGCCATCGCAGTAACTTGTAATGCACTCAAAATTCTTTATTTATTTCTATGTGTCTGTAATGGTTGGAGCTATTGACTGACACTAACTAGCTTACAGTTAGTTACTTATATATATGTAAACCATACATTGAATATATCATTTTCACATCTACCTTCAGTCGTCCTTTATATGCTCCATAATTCTTTCAATCCTGTTGTTACTACAATTTTCTACTGTTTCCTTTCTCTTTCTCTTCAATTCAGTCTTTTATTGACAGGCATTTTAATTCCGATTGTTGCCACATACTACTTATATCTGTCAACATAAGTGTATGTATATGGTTTATGTCATTATTGGTAGGAGTTTGAATTACCTCGTTGTTGATATTCAGAACCGAATTTTCGATCAGTCTTTGTTGATATATGTGAATCTAGTAAAGATGTTTTACAGAATAAATAAATTGGGGATAACAATGGAATCCAGTAGATGGTCATCTCATACTATTTCCAACTTGTCAGTTGAATTTACCTGCCTCCTAGTATTGATATATTTTTAATTAAAACTAATAGTGATATAAATATCATATTTGTTGAATAATTTAACGGTCATCTAGACTTATTAATTTAGGGATAACACTTTGAGCTTTTGGCGTGAAAGGTATTAGGTACTAGTCCCAATGTAATAAATATCAAAACTGGAATGCAGGTTCGTCAAGCTGATGAGTCTGAAACTTGAAGAATTACGTTTCCTGGATTCTACTACCAGCCATATTACATCTATTCCATAAACATAAAAGTGTGAAGAATAGGATATCTATCAACCATACAATTAATATAACACTAGATAGTTTCGCTTATCTATCTCTCTTCCTTTTTCCTATATTTTTTTCCCAGTTCAAACCTATGTGTTTTCCCATCTCTGATTATTATTATTTTTATTATTATAGACACTTGAATAAGACACATCAACTATCATTACAAGCCCTTGCTCAAGTTGAAGTATGTGCATCAAGGTTAGAATTGTACTTGAGAACAGTAAGTGTCTTTTCTTTCATCCATATAAGAATTATTATTATATATGATAAAACTTTCCTGTGTATGTGTTCAATTATTTTCAACGAAGTAATAAACAAATAAAATGGTTGAATTTATGGGTCGATTTAAGCTAAACCACCATGAAAAACCTGGAAGCACTGGACGGCCGTTTCGTCCCAGTATGAGTTCGAGTCCTATGTGTAGAATCGTGGGTGCGCAATGCTGAGGAGTCCCATACTAGGACGAAATGACCGTCCAGGTATTCCAGGGTGGTCTAGCTTAGATCAACTCATGAATTCAACCATTAGATTATTACAATCTTCACAAACCCCCATTCTGAAAATAAACTGGTATTACTTAAAATTTACATAAGTAATGCATTAATGAGTAGCTGTAAACCGATGGTAAAAGTTGAAGTATAACGAGCGATGAACCCAGTAAGAATGTTGTGAGCCTTCAAAAAATTTAACTAGATATAAAGTTTATGATTATTTAAACAGTTGAAATCAATTATTGTCAATTACTTGAAGGATTTTATGTTGGTTATGCTCGATCGACCAACCGACTGACTGAAGATATCCGTCTATCAACTAAATGACCTGTTTACTAAGCAGTAGTTTGCTTCATTCGACTTCATGGATGTGAAATATCAGTATTCAGAATAGATGATATTTATAAGGTACTAGTATTCGGTTGTTGATGTCTTGGAAGTATCACTCATGAATTTTGGGACCACCGAGAAAGTAAGGTAAAGATGGCAAATCGACTGACGAGGTAGTAAATCTTCACAAAGTGGGGTGGTTGAGACGTTTGTTACGTTTTCTTAACCACTGCCTACCTCGACGGCGAATGTTGTGTGGTGTAGGGGTAGACTGAAAGAAAACTGGGGGCAGCCAAACCAAAACATGACACCATGTTATGAAATCACTGACAATTAGACTAAGCCATGTAGCTAGGTGTAGACTACGTGGTTGGGATTAGCGTGATTATCGTAACCAATGATTGGAGACTGTGGATGACATGAATGAGAATCGTTTGAGATGATGTAAGTTCATTGAATCTTCATCTTCTCTTAGATTGTAATGTTTTGAATCCGTGATAATTTTTTTGCTCCACCAATTTATATTTTACTCGTATCTTTTATGTTTGATCTTTTCTAATACCACTGATGCCGTTACAACCTCTGGTACTCTACAATTTGGCCTAAAAATCCCATCTCTCTATGCTAATAGAGTGCAGGAACTTGAACTGATGTACATACATACCTAGTTCGACGTAGCGGCCAATTGACGAACTGACTGAAAGGTTAACTGACGCTCTCTATATATATACGTTTGATCATTCTAATCTACCACAAAGGATTTACTTATCTAAATAGCATTGAACTTTATGTGCTCTTAAGGGCTTGTATTTTACCGTTGTTGATGTTTACGACTACAATCGATGTGTCTCGTTCGGCATATGTGCATCCTCAGCGGATGGCTATTTAAACAGAGTTTTTGTTCATATTGGATTGTGGCTGACAGTGAAGAATCGATATAAAGATCGACATTACTGATTAAATTCTACTAATCGCATCTCAACAGGACTCCGGGATTTACCTCTTGAAATTAGTCACTAACAAGTGCATAATTACTGTTAATGTATGGAGTAATGAAAAGTCTTAAATTTTCGTCCATGCATTGATTTCATTTAGTTTTTTTTTCATTTACGATTTATTATTATGATTGATATGATTTAGGTTCGTAAAGAATCACAACGTTTAAATGCAATGGTACGACATCTAATCAGTAGAGCGCGTTGTGGTGGTACAAGTTTTGAATGGTCAACTAATTCATCATTATCATCATCATCATTATGTAATTCAGTTCCTGCATCATTTGGAAATTGTCCATTAAATTGTTTTCCTGGATGTAATAGTAATACTAATAATAATAACAATCAAACAATTAATCAAGTTGGTTCCTTTAATTGGAATACAAATGGACATTTAGATTCTACCGTCAATTCCCTGGCAAATGGAACATTGGAATTGCCGGATAAGACAGAATTAGAAACAAGTTAGTTATTTCTCTGGATTTATTTTTTCATTCGATCGTATAGTAGATAGTAATAGATTGAACTGAAAGGGATTTGTCAATATAGTGCTGTGGAAATTATTAAGTTTCATTGATTTCAATGAAAGTCAACAATCTCCACTACCTTATATTGTCAATTATCATGTGATCACTAGTCACTAGCTTTTAAAGGGGATTCTTGGAGATATAGTAAGAAGTTGTGACCAGTGGAGACTTATCATGTTTGGTATGAGGCAGTTACCCACCGAAGACAATATAAGATGGTCGTACAGTATTGTGAATTGGTTATAGTTAGACATTAACACCATTGGATGTCAATTTCAGTTGTCAAGAGGTTAAGTGTGACCGAAGGTTTAGGGTTCTGTTCTTGCATGCGGGTTTGTAAATTCACACTTTTGAGGAAACGCATACTAGGACGAAACGGCCTTCCAGTACTTCCAGGTTTTCAATGATCGTGTAACTTAGATCGGTTACTAATTTAAATGAAGGGGATTTTGTCGAGATTAGTTTGATTAGTTGGTTGTATTTATTGTGGCTTGATGTTTGGTTATTTATCACGTGACTTATTTGCCAATGGTAATACGACTTATACAATCTTAGCACCGTGGCAAACCAATGACGTATCGACCGGTATGAGTAGCCTAGCGTCCTTGTTGGTCCCTTTTCCTCCTAGCCCTGCCAGTTGAGTCCAGAACAGCAATACGAGCGTCTACTATACGAATTATTTATATTTCAAACATACCTGGTTAATATACAGGTCAAAACGGACATCACACCATATAATAGGAAATAATATTTGTACGGGATATATATATATATATATATATATATATATATATATATATATATATATATATATATATATCGTCACTAGGATATAACAGTATTCCTAATTGGATGAACTTACTGTAGGTCACACTGAGAAAACTGTTGACCATCCGAGTAGTTGTTTCGTTAACACTACTTGGGAGTCCTAAACTGAGACAAAATGGCTATTCAGTGCTCCTTGGTTTTCAGTGGTACGTCTTTTGAAATTAGTTTGTGATGAATACTATTGTAATTTGTGATCTGTTCAGTTGAGTCTACAATGATCGTTAATCACGAACGGTCAAGATTATTTCAATTCGAGGGGAATTCACACACACACACAAGCAACTCTTCGACAAAAATCTCCAACGATGGAACCCAAAAAGGACAGAGCATTTCAGAAGAATTTGAAATGGAACAACTCTCGATATACGGTAACCAATTATAACATTGGGACACAAAGAAATTACCAGACGAAAAGTGTTAATAGCCTATCAGAAAGTAGCACAATCCAGTAAAATACGACTTAAGACCTCCTCGTGGAACTGCTGGGCCGTGGAGGAAATCTCAGTATCGAACTTGGGCGGTCGATCGAGATCAGACTAATCCACCACACTGTCGTAACCGATTTACTCAAAAATCCACAATTTAAGGTACCAAAATCGTATAGGGATACAGTTTGTGCATGAATATAAATATGAATTAGATGAGTCTCGGCTCGCGTAATTTGTTTATGTAGGTTATGAGCGCGCTGGGCTTGACCTGAGTCAGATTGAGTAGGCAGTCTGCCATATGACAAAACAGACCTACCCTATGAAACAAAATCCGTCCAAGCTAAAAAATAAAGGTGCAGCAAGTACAATTGAGAAGAATGGTGACCGTCAGCCCTCTCTTAAGAGCGCTTTTGGCTGTTTATTTCAAGATGTGCATAGACGTATGTCTTCGTACCTTGGACATATATACACCGTATAAGTTCCAGAAAGAGAAAAGACAATTTACTCTATGAAAAATATGGAGAGACAACCATCAATCCCTCTAAGAGTGCTTATACCCATGTGTATGTTATGATGTGCATCAGCGTAAGCTTATGTATCTTTGATACACATGCATTATATAAGGTGCTCAATCAGAAGATGAACATAGATTAATTCTTAATTGTACTTTATACAATCATGACTCAAAACTTTTGTAACAATATTTTTTTTAAAAATGTGTACATAACTTACTCATAAGTAATACAAACTAGAGTAATAGGAACATAATTGTTGATGATAAATCTGAACTGACAATATATATGATAACTATTCATGGGTCAAGCGAAACCTTAGAATCAGGCTAATATAAAAATATAATAGTCTAAAACTCGAATATTTATAACATAACAATATCAATAATCCTTCATATGATAGTTCCAAAAGTTATACTTTCATATTACTTATCGCATTATCTCAGGTTCAAGTTGCTACACTATATCATCATCAAGAGATGCTAGAGTTATGGACATATAATGACAGTATTATTTATCAGTATAGGGTTGTGAAGATTGTTGAGTTTTAATTGAGATCATGAACCGATCAATGTTAGACCACCAATATTATTTGTATTAGAAATGATTAGGCATGGTTAGTATAATTTGAGGAAAATGAATGAATTTGTGAAATTAAACTGCTGAGGAGTCCCATACTAGGATGAAACCGCCGTCCAGTGCTTCCAGGTTTTCAATGGTGGTCTAGCTTCAACTGACTCATGATTTCAATCTGTGAAATTTCTAAAATCTCCACAAAACCCATTCTGATAATATAAGATATCCTTAGAACTTATGATCTAAGTGAAGATAGAAAGTGAATGAATCAACGCTATTGTGACCGATTCTGAGCCATGTTATCCATATAATCGACTTCAAGCTATTGTTCCTTGAACTCTGCGTCATGCTTTCAGATCATCAAGACTGAATGTAATCTAGATTGTTCATATTTCATATACTTCAAGAGGAAATATCCTCCTACGGTATATATGTAATCAAGAAATGAGAAAACTTCCTATACACCTTTAACATTCTTCATTAATTGCATTATTTCTACTAAATATGTAAGCCTTGTTGTTTGCTTTTTTAACATAATAAGCTACACTTAAATAATCAGTATCATGTATATATATGTTTGTTTTCAGATTCCTTATACGAATCCCAAGTACAAAATATCAATTCAATCTATCGTACTGATAATTCAATGCATTGTAGTCCAGTTTATAGTAATACAACAACTACTTCAGAATCATGGTGTACAGATCAATTAATTATACCTGATTGCACTGCAATGTCTGTGCTACGTGATTTACCATTACATCATAGACGTAGTGCAGTACATTCATTAACATCACGTTGGTCTACATCGAATCATCATTCAACATTAGATACAACTTATAATTCAAATACATTGATAAATCAAATTCCTAGTAATAATAATGGTAGTAATACTACTACTAATAATAATAATTGTAATTTGTCACCTGCTCTACCCGTATTTCCAAATAATCCAAATGATAGTTCATCATCTAACAATAATATAGTGGATAAACTAACTATTCCCTCACCATCTACACCACCGACTTCATGTCATCCAGCTTTAATAGCTAGTGCAGCGGCAGCATTATTGTCAAGTGTTTCAAGTTTGCAAAATCAAATCATCACCAGTATGTCAACTCATCATCCTGTTCTAACTGGTCAATTTCAAACTGCAACTGATCCTCAACTTCCTCATCAATCGACATCAGCGAACGCAGCTGCCGCGGCTATGGCGGTTGCAGCCGCGGCGGCAGCAGCTTCCGGTTTATCTAACCCTGCGTCAATGTCATGGCTTCCAAGATCAACTGCTGCTGCGAATAATAATAGTAGCAGTAGTATTGGTGTCGGTGGCGGCAATACCACAAATTTTGATCCTAAAGAATTTGATACAACTGCTGCCGCGGCAGCAGCAGCAGCCGCCGCCGCTGCTGCAGCGGCTGTAGCTGCTTCTAATCCCGCCTCAGCAAATGGTGTATTTTTCGATTCGAATACCACAACTCCCATTGTTCCTGCTCCTCCGCCTCCACCTTCCGCCGCTCCTACAGCTGTCGCTGTCACTACTACCACTTCTCATACAAGCCTCACATCATCATTGTTTGATAAAGCTGTTAAACAACGTTGGTTCGATGCAACTAGACAAGACGATTTGATGATAACAACAACACCAACACCACCACCACTTCCAGCAATAACTTTAACCTCAACGGCAGTAACAACGGTGACTTCGTTGCCCATGACTGCGATCGCCACTACTATGTCAGTAGTAGGGAAGTCATCTAGTAGTAATAATAATAGTAATAGTATTGGTGCTAGAACAAGAGCCAGAGAACATCAAATGAAACCATCTGTCAATCAGGAATCATCTATTATAGAATTGGAAAAACAAGGTAGAACTATTGAAAATTCCGATAAGTCCACAAGTATGTGTCTATTTATGTATATCTTTGATCAGATTGTTTTTGTTAGTTCATTTCCGCTGTATATTTATTCTAGTGATATCATCATTATTGTGACATCGCTTGATAATAGTCTTAAAATAATGGGGTTTGCACGGTTGAATTCACGAGGCGATCTAAGCTAGACCACCATTAAAAACCTGGAAGCAGTAGACGGCATTTTCGTTCCAGCATGGAAATCCTCATCAATTCACACCCACGACCTAACGCGTGGGACTCAGACCCAGAACCTTTGGTCTGGAGCGAACGCTTAACCCCTAAACCACTGGGCCGTCATTCGGATCGTGGATGCTCACCACTGAGAAGTCAGGTACCAGGACGAAATGGCCGTCCAGTGCCTCCAGGTTTTTAATGAAGGTCTACCTTAGATCGACTTGTGAATTCAACTGTGAAAACACTACAATCTCCACAAATTTCCACACTGATAATAGAGTTAACCTTCATATGCTGTGGTAATTTAGTTGTAGCTTAAGATAAAGAATTTCAGATGTTGTAGTATCTGAGCTTCTGGATGTTTAGTCTTGTCTTTCTAGACAACCTTATCAGCAAGAATTTCAAGGATAAGTGAACAATTAGAAATTTTCCACTACAATTGACTAGCCTGTTTGTTTTGTTTGACATTGAAATCATGAACTGATGTAGATTAAACAACCATTGAACAGTTGAAAGCACAATAAAACGTTTTTTTCTTAATATAGAACTTTTCGGGAGTGTGTATTTACGACTCCTCCACAAGGAATCTAGCCTAGACATTATACCTGATGTCAATAAATGGTGAAAACTCTTATTTTAATCTCTAACTATAAGTGCAGCTATAACTCCCAATCTCAATTCTTCACATGAATTTATAACCCACTTTTGACCTTACTAATTGTTGTCTAGATAGGCAACTAAGGTTTTACGACTGAGATACCACCTATCTCAAACGACATATTTCTAGAGAAAGAGCTTCTCTTATTCATGTTAAATTACTGTAAAGGTTAGTTTTCATTGTGATAACAACTTTTCGGTTGATGTTATCTGTCACATTTTCCATTTCGAGTAATGTGTTATATCCAGCGTTTTCAGTTGTTATTCCGTTCATTTAGTCAGTGAGCATTACTTATTTATTTATTTACTTACTTAGGCCTGTTACTCCCAATAAAGCATAGGCCGCCGACCAGCATTCTCCAACCCACTCTGTCCCGTAGAAAACTAACTCGCTAAAAAACGCTAACCAGAGCATTACTTATTACTAGAGATTTATTGTTAAACGCTAACTTTCAATCAATTCACGTTTTTCATCCTAGATGTTAGGCTCTGTTACATTGACTTGTTCATAGCACATAGTTGAAGATAACTCGAGACTCTTGAAATGAAACCTTTAGTGAGAACTACATTCTAACATGCACTACTCACGTACTGAGTGAACGAAAAAAAGTTCCATAATGCTAGATAAAACAAACAACATTAACGTAGATAAAATGATGGATGACATCAACCCAACTCTGAATTAAATCTCTTGAATGGTACTTATCTGAAATAAGGATTAATTAATATAAAAAAAGTCTCATTGAATTCGGAGATGATTATGCCATATACGGAGAAGTAGTAGCAATAGAAATGGTTTATGATATAATATGCTTTGATTTGAGCTGTTCTTGTCTCTTATATTCTTACTGCCAATGAGGATTTTGGACAAAAGGTCTCATTCTTAGACAACGTAGTGAATATAATTTTTATCAATCAGTATTTAAATTTCTGATAATTGTGACTTCAAGAAGATTTTAAATGATGATTCATTGGTAACTTATTTTAGTTGACATATATATTGTTATTGATAACTTGATCCTCCCCCCTTTCTATGTACTGAGCAATCAATAATGTATGGGCATGGGAACTTTCACGATACGACGGAACAATGTTGAAAATTTTGACTTAGAACTTCGATTATCATTTCAGACGTAAGGTGAACACGCTTATATGGCCTAGTCATACAGTCTCAATAATGTTTCCACATCGTCCTTTTATGACTTTCGATATTTTTCATCTATCATTCAGCATTCAGAAGAAAATATTATAAGGTATAGTATATTCAGCTTAAAGAACAATTTACCTAGGATTCATTGTTGTTATTCTATAATCACCACAAGTTTATGAGTAAAAACACCTTACTGTTGTAAATGTAGTAGTTGTCTTTAGGTATCCCTGTTTGTGTTTACCTCAGTTGATTTCTTTTCATATCGACAATGGTAGTGATATTATTGAGATCACAAACCAGTTTAAGTTAGACAACTATTGAAATCCTTAAATGATAGGACGGCCGTTTCGTTCCACTTAACAGTGCGCAGTTACAAACCTGGAACCTGCAGTCTTTGATTCTAACACTCAACCTCTAAACTACCGAGTAGGAATCAAACTGCCACTAAGGAATCTCATGCCAAGATAAAACGGTTATCCAGTAACTTATGATTTTCAGTAGTTTTCTAATTTAAATCAGTTCGTAATCTCAACAACATTCAATAATTTTTACAACTCCGTAACGACGGGGATGACGATGATGCTGAGAATTCTATGTTGTACCAAAATATAATATTGAATAAAGCCATTAATAATAATCATAATTAGTAATAATAATAAATAGTGTTTTTAAGTCAGTGTTTAAGTTTCCTTTATGGTAAAGACATACACACACGTACACAGAGTAAGTGTAAGAGCAAGCTAGAGTGAAGGAGAGAATAAACTGGTTTTCACATGAAGAGGAATTTTTTATTTCCCCCCTCTACCCTATCCTATCTCCACAAAATATCTGATCATCGTTATAATGATCACCAAGATTATTATTTATAACGTTCAGTCTTTATTAGGCTTGGATCTAACTTGAAGAGATACCTTGTGTTCGGGGGGGGGGAAGGAGAATGTAAGAATCAGTGCATAAAAGAATCTGGAAGAGAAAAGAGTAAAGAAAAGTGAACTGACGACTCAGTAAATACCTAAACTGCGCTTACACTTAATAATAAAAACCAATTGACAGTAATGAGAACTAACACAGGCATGAGATTATGACAATCTGATAATCGAAATGAGAAGTTGATAGCATAAGTTTTTGAATGAGTGACATATTATCATCGACATGGTTTTTAACAAAATCCTTATTTATATCCAGTAAAATTACTAAGGTAAAGAATAAAATTATTTGTGTATGTGTATTTAAATTTTTTTATTTGCACACCAGGCCTATTTTTCTCTCTCTCTCGTTTACTTGTTTGTTTGTTTGTTTGCATAATTTTTCTTGCTGTTAGGAGTAGTGGGGGGAGGAGGGATAGATTGTTTATGTTTTCTCTTGTTTTTACCATGTTTCAAAATAGTAATGTCACTGTTTATTACGTCATTTGTATATGAGATTATATAGATGATAAACAGATGTACATGTACCTTAACTACTCCTGACTCGTCGGGAGAGGGGGGAATACCAACTGAGAACAGTAGAATACAGTTAACTTTTCAATCATAACACAAGTTGTTTCTTATTTTAATAGAAGAAATGACGGAAAACAATAACATTTCATCCATTAGACAGTGATAGTGTACTTTTTTTGGAGGGGAGGGGAATAATGGACAAAGTAGGTTGATATACATAGAGAGAGAGAGAGAGAAAGAGATTTGACTGAAATACTTATGTGTTATATATTGATTATTTGATTGACTACATTCATCCATTTGATTAGCATGATTGAAAGGATAACAGGAAAACAATGAAAAAATTTTTAAAATCCTAGTTGTGAATAAACATTTAAGTATCTGACAACGTCACAACACAGATTCAGAAAGCTCGCTAAGCTTTTGCTACATTGTGTCACTGCAGGCGTAGGCAGTTTGTCTGTCAATTAACCAAAGTACGACACAGTAGTATATTTGTCCTATTCTACTTTATGGCTATAAAATGTGGCCTTCAAAAATAGTGAATATTCTCAGGTTATTGATTTTTAACCAATGGATGCCTTTAAAGCCATACACCTGTATGTTTGGAACATCAAGTGAGCAATGTTGAGGTTACACATACATGTTACTAGAGGGTGTAGGATTAGGTTATAAGAAAGCTATTGGTACCCAAAATAACACGTAACATCATTCCATGAAGTTGTTGACTACTGAGCTGAGTCATGTATGTCGGTTTAAACTACGTGGTATGCTCGATTATCATGGCCAAATGGTTAAGGCTTTGAATGATATGACTCAGAATTGGTCACAATGGAGCATTTACATTCACTCTTTATAATCAAATACCTGTCCTTTTTGTTCTGAAAATTCGTTCCTTTTCCTCGAATCATGTTAATTGCGCTTAGTATTTTCTAGTTCCACTGATAATGTTACTAATTCGACTATTATGGTATTTCTAGTATAGGGGTTGTGGAGATTATTAAGTTTTTGATTGCGATCATGAACCAATTGATGTTAGACCATCACAATTGAAAACCTGGAAGCACTGGACGGCCGTTTCGTCCTATTGTGGGACTCCTCAGCAGTGCACATCCACGATCCCACGAGCGGGATTCGAACTCAATACGAATTTCTTTTCTGAAAAACCCATCAATTGAATTTAATTGTTTGTCAATATTTGCTGGTTTCGCCAAACACTCTAAACCTTTTTTTTCAAATAATTGAACAGGTTCTATTTCTGTCAAACCATTTGTTCCAATAATGATGAATATTCATGTAAATTGCACGGGTCACCTACTTGTTATTGGAGTTTAGAATTCCATGGTATTGATTATTATATTGAGCATAATGAATTTCAAACTTTACTTTGCTTTGTCAAACGAAATGAATATATGTGTCTGAGTAGTAGTGTGGTGTGTGCTACTTATGTTGACAAATATAAGTAGTATGTAAATCCAATCGAAAATGGTATGCCTGGCAGCAACAGGTTGAGAAGATCGAATAGAAGAGAACGGGAACAGGGAGTGAATGGTATGAAAATGAAGGGACAACAAAGTTGTCTTTATCTTAACGTTGATAGCATTTTATCGATAACTTATCAATATGGTCACAATCGGGTATATTGATTGAACAGTTGATGATGAAAGCTTGAGTCAATGATTTATTTTACTTATCACTCATCAGGAGTTCAGCCACATTTGGTATTTAAAAAGATCGATTTAAGCCTGAATAATAATTTGGTGACGAATTTTATGATTAACACTTAGTTGGATCCTATAATCAAGGCATCGATTTCTTTGAGATTGTTGAAACGCCTTGGTGATGGATGAATACTGTACCGACCTACTAAAAAATACCTATGAGACTATAAATGACAGACGACCTTTGAGCGATGTTGAAGTGACCTTGAGATGACTTCCCTACATACTAGAGTCAAATTAGTATGAGTAATTGGGATTCATTATGAAATGAGATCAACTTGGATGCCGAAATGCTACAAATGAATAACGTGCCGACATCCAAGACTTGTTATTTTAAATATCGCTGGCTCGTCTATTAATTATAGACTCAATGAAAAACCTAGTTCTATTGGTCTAACTTCTTACTAATCACTTTTTCCAAACAAAAAGAAAATACCAAAAGGGTTTTGTGGACATTATAGTAATTTCAGTGGTTGAGGTCATGAGTCAATTGAAGCTAGATCACCGTGGAAAACCTAGGAGTACTGGACGGCCGTTTCGTCCCGTTTTTGGACTCTTCAGCGGCGTGCATCCACTGCCTCCCCTCGAGACTCGAACCGAGGACCTATCAGTCTCACGAGCGAGCGCTTAACCACCATACCACTGAGTTGGCCGGCATCCAACGGTGTTAATGTCTCACTTCGACTCATGATCGTAACCATTCAGAAAGAAAATACTCCAACCGTTCAACGAGAGAATAAACAAATCAGATTAAAAAGTTTTCTCTCTCTCTTATTTTTATTATTGTTATTATTTACACTTATGATGTAAAATCCAGTTTATTTACATAAATTAATATCGGACAACTTGTTTTTGTTTACAGTATGATTGTTGTTATCATTATCATCATCATCCTATTTTGTTATTGTTGGTAACGATGACGATGTTTACGTCACCGTCAGTTATGTTTTGTTTTGTTTCTTTTAGCTATAACCATTAATGTTGTTATTGTTGCCACCATCGTTCTTCTCCGTTATGATCTTTGTTGTTATTATTTCTATAATCATTATTGTTCCGAGAAATAACATATAAGTAACTAGAAAACAAAGTTCTCTCTCTCTTCCTCTCGCTGTTTTTACTTTCTCTCCTCGATTTAGAAATCGAATAATTTCCCCATTAACTTCATTTTTCCTTGCACTACTTTAATTTTGTTAATTATAGAGTTGTCTTTGAAGCATTTTTCTCGAGTTTTGTAGAATGATTGAGTGAGTAATATTGAGATTATACATAGGATACCTGACAATTGTGACAAATCGGTTGATGATGAAGTTTGCGAATCTTTATTGTGTCTCTAGCCATCACTTACTATGGTGACCGATTCTTGGTAGTTCAGAAATAGGTTAGAAGAAAGTTAATGGTATCCAAATTAAAATTTCGGGGCGATTCATGAGGTCATTAACCATTGCTGTTTGAGTTATGTTTGCCGATGAAGATTACCTGGTTGTTTTATGCTTGCTAGACAACTATAGTCAAATGGTTGAAGACTTTGAGTGATATGACTTAGAATCGTTCAGGTTGACTCTGATGTACTCAAACTTTATCTTCTTTCCTTTGGGAGGGGTCCCAAAAATATCCTTCATCAACATTCCCAGTGGCCCAGAAATTCCAGAAAACGTTTTTTCAAATCAGCGTTTGATCAGATCTCAGAAACGTCTAGGAAATGCAGGATCAACATCAGCATCTTTCCTTAGAATTTCTATTCAGCTAGTTTGTTCTCTGTCATATTAAATTATTGTTGATGGTCACTTGAAAATGGGTCTGCAGTATCTTGAGTAGACAGTTCTTTATAAATACTCGTATTTACTTAATAATGGTTTTAGCAGTTCTTCAAGTCTCACCTCCGTAAAACAACTGTTTTGACACTAATGTTGAAAATTCTGACTTTGGTGTTATTTGACAGTTGTTTTGAGCTCCTAATATTCTTCATTTGTATGAATGCTGTCCTCACTTTGAGAACTCAAACCTTCGCATCTGCATCGGACCCACCTTGTTTATCAATGGTACTGCCTCGGTATGCATAGGCTTCTGCCTCTTTCAGAGCTTCACCATCAAGTGTGATTCTGTTCCAAGAAAGCAACGTATATGCGCATAAACACATGTACAACGACTTTACAAATAGTGCAGAAAACTTAGCACACTAAAAGAACAACTGACCACTAAGAAAAAAGCCTTTAATTATGGTCAAATCGAAAGTTGGTTCTCATGGAGATATTAAAGATGAAGAATTAGAAATTTAGATCTATATTATAGAAGGTAAAATAGCAGAATAGGATATGTGTTCATGAATTTGTAGCTCAGCTGTTTTACAATGTTTAATATGTGTACAATATCAAGCAGTTTGAGGGGCATTTTCCTATCTATTTACTGAGTGATGCATGTAACAGCATAATTTTCGCTAAAGTTTTCATTTCAGGCTCTAAGTTTCCCTTCGTTTTTTTTCATACGACATGTTGGGATGCTCTAGAGCGTATGCTCACAGAAGACATATGTGGATAACTTCAGATAAATAAAAAGAAGTCGTCAGTGTAAATCATGCACTATTAATCAGTACTCACTAAATAGCTGGAAAAATGTTCTAAATGCTAGATATTGCATATTTTAAGTGTCAGAAGAATGATGATTTATCACACACGAAAATAACGAGTAAATAAATTGTTGTCTAGGAGTTTGAGTATCTTCAATACTTTGAAAATGTCTATTGTTGAAGAAAAAGCACTACTGATGAAACCTTTTTATCTATCCATATACTTATTCAACTTCCTAATTGATAAAATAATGAAAGTAATAAGGATGATGTGTTGGGAAAAAATTAAAAAGGACTTCACCTAAACACGGCATTTTTCCATGAAATCATCATTGACTGTTGAACTGATCCACTTCTATGGATACAAACTAATCGGTTAGGGTTCGCTCGATTATCGTAACCAATGGTTAAAGATGTTGAATAATCATAGTTCAGAATCGATCACAATAGTGCAGATTCATCTCCAATTTGTTTTCTTACTTAGATCCTGAGTTCTAAAATTGTCTTATACATGATTATCCGACGAATTTTTTATTTCCTCGTGAATCGTCTTGTCTATTTCTAGTGTGTTTCTGTTATTGAATCTTTTTTTGATAATCTCAGCACTCTGAGCTGATATAGTATAATGATTTAAATTGATCCACACTAGGTTCTACTCTGCTTCTAGCTACGACTAACTGACCTATTCCTACTAACGTGTGAATACTTATCAATTTGTATTTATGCTTCAGTTAAAACCTTTATTGATTTGTTTTTTTTTGTATTTTCCGCCCTTCCTTAAAGTTCACTGTAATATACCAGAAGCTATGGATTCTGAAAATTCATTAGTGATGACATGTGAAAATCTTGCATACACATCATCATCGTCACAACAACAAACATCATTGTCATCCGCAGTAATCGTAGTACCGGCAGTAGTATCATCATCAACAGGAACTTCATCTTTGACATCAGTGATGACCACTGCAGCTGTCACAACAATACCAACTACAACAACATCACAGACAACAAAGACGACAGCCACGTCAAGTACAAATGGCACCTCTTCAACTGCAAACAATAATAATAATAATACATCATTAGCTCAAAGACAATACTATCGATCACATTGTGCACGTCCCAGATTCACTTATGCTAATTTAATACGTCAAGCAATATTAGAATCACCGGGACAACAATTATCATTAAGTGCAATTTACGTATGGTTACAACGTGAATTTGCTTATTTTCGACAAAATGAAGCTACATGGAAAGTGAGTTATTTATTCTTGTTTGTTTTGTTCTTTCGATTACATTATTCAAAGAAAATAATTAAGGAAATGTATTAATAATAAAGGAAGTATATAGTACTCTGATTGATCAATCACTGCATATTAATCATTTTCATCTTTGGATTAGTCTTTAAAGATGATAGAATCCAATCGATCAAGTTTCAGTCCAGGCCATTCGTTTAAGTGGTTTGACATTGGATTTATTATGTCAGATGACGATTAGCGGTAAGTGGTAGGAACTGCTCCCCAGATGACAGACTCAGTAGATGCCCAACTTCGAGATCAACAGGTCGGATTCCGTAAGGATCGGTCGTGCAAAGACCGAATTGCGACACTCCGGATCATCGGGGAACAATCGAGTAAATGGAACTCGTCACTATGCATCAACTTCCTTGATTATGAAAAAGTATTTGACAGTGTGGATAGGCGAACACTATGGATCTTCAACATCATGGAGAATTCATACGACGGACTGTAGTGTGAAGTCGTGTGTGGGTGACAGCTGACAGACACATTCCAAGTGAGGACCTGAGTATAACAAGATTGATTACTCTCCCCCTTTCTCTTTCTTCTGATGGTCGACTAAATTATGAAGAGCTCGAAATCTGAGGAGAAGCACGAAATACAGTTGACAGCTCGGAATCAGTTAGACGATTTGGACTTTGCAGATGACCTATCTCTTCTGTCCTATGCACACGAACAAGTGCAGATGAAGACAACTACTGTCACAGCAGCCTCTGCATCAGTAATCCTCAACAGACACAAGGAACAAAGTAAGATCCTCAGATACAACACAGAGAACAACAACACAACCACACTTGATGGAGAAACTCTGGAAGAGGTGGGAAATTGCACGTATCTGGTCAGCATCATCAATGAACGTGGAGGATCCAATGCGGACGTAAAGGCGAGGATTGGCAAAGCAAGGGCCGCATTCCTACAGTTGAAGAAGATAGGGAACTCAAAACAACTGTCAACCAATGTCAAAGTGTTAATCTTCAATACGAACGTAAAGACAGTCCTACCGTACCGAGTTGAAAATTGGAGAACTACTACAACCATCATCAATAAAGTACAAGGATTTATATACAGTTGTCTACGCAAGATATTCAATGTCCGTTGGCCGGATACCATCAGAAACAGTCTACTGTGAGAGAGAACAAACCAGCTTCTAGTTGAAGAGAAAATTAGACTAGACAGGGAAGCGGGACCAATCAGAACCCTAGGCCGTTCTACATGTTTGCGCGTATTTGGTCCGATTGATAATTCGCTACCCTCTAAGCTGCCGTCTCACAGTTATAGCACTTTACCACTTGTAGTGATCAAGCTATGAATAAAAAATGAACTATCTTTTCTTCTTCTGATGTATTTTATTGATGATATATTAGGTGGTTGGAGGAAGTCAATATGTGAAATCCTGTTGAACCTAGGTTTCGTGCTATTTGGAACTCGTCAAAAAGACACGGGAAGTTTTGAGAGAACTGACCCTCTTCTAAGAGAGTTAAGCCCGCATATATTTGAAATTTACGTTTAAATATGATACAATGTCTTCACATTATTTTTCATTAGTTGTCTCATAGTGAACAGTTGAAACTTTAAATCTATCTTATCGTATTATTTTCCTTTACTGGACTCAGTGAATGATAGGTGCTTACGGTATGAGTTAGATGAAAAATGAATAATTCGTCAGTAATGTACAACGTCTTTCTACGCCGACTGGATGGTTAAATCCATAGCTCGTTATTTAAAGTGCATAATCTTTTGATAGATCATTAAGCTTTAAATGTCTCACAAAAGTTGATTTATACAACTAGAGTATTGTTAATATTGTTTACTTATCGATAATTTCTTACTGACTTACTTATGCCTGTAACCCGTTATGGAGCATGGGCTGAAAACCAGGATTTTCTAACTTACTCTGTCCTGGGATCTCCTTTCCAGTTTTCCCTAAGTGGTATTCATTCTTTTGACGTCTGCATCCAATTCCCTGTGCCATATGTTCTTATATCTGCCTCCTTTCCTTTTATTTTGAGGATTTCAATTTAGAATTTGCTTTTTTTTATGCAGTTTGGTTATTTCCACAATCTGTGACCTATCCACTCTCAATATGTTTTCCCAATTTTCACTTCAACTGGAAGCTGGTTTGTTGTTGTCTGCCAGAGTCTTGATAATTAGCCTAATGTATATATTATGTGTTCAATAATTAAGTGCACTGATTACTTTCGAAAAGACTTCTCTTTTGTCAAAAAAATTATGAATCTCATCGGCATTTTCATTACTTTTAAAGGATAATCTAGAAGTCAAACAGTTCAATTGCCTTATTGTTTCCTACAGAATCTTTCCAATTTTTCCAATTACATATTTTGCTAGAATTGGATATACAGTAAGAATCTTCTGAATATGTGTTCAGTGTTTTGATCACCTTGTCAGGTTGACATTGTTCCTCCTCTTTGTCAAAATTTTTAGTCTTCATGATCCTCACTGAAACGTTTAGTCAACTTTCCAAAAAAAAATTTCTGTGGTGTACTATCTTCATAATCAGCCATAAATGTATGGGGAGTTTTTGACAGAGTTTTATAGTGACTAACAGTAGAATTCAGGATGCTCCTTTCGTCCTGCTTCGAACTCGTCATAAGCTGAATATACTTATATCCCATTGTCTATATTTATCACATTAGGACATGAACTCAGCACCGTTTGATTAAAATGACTAATATGTTATTCACCGAGTCATTAGCTTGTGCAATCAGTACAATGAGAAAATGTGAACCCTCAAAAAATAACTTCTTAACAACCTGATTACTTACTTACGCCTGTGACTCCTCGTGAAAGCCCTTCTGGGCGTGTTGTCAGTTCGAAGCCCGAATAGAGGAGGAAGTTTGGACATGGAGTCAGCACCCCGCATCCCTTAGAAAACAGCCCTGCTAAGAAACACCGACCAGGAAAAATCATTTAAATCTTAACAAGCAATTACTAAATTCCCCCTTATAATTAATAGTAGTAATAATGGTGATAATATTAGTAGTATTGATAACCAAACAACTAACTTGTTTTTCTATTTCCCACCACACAACACATGGTGAGTTTGTGTTATGAAAAAGAAATAAGTGTTTGTGTTTTTAAATCAAGATGCTACAATATATTTATTAGTTGTCATCTACAGAATAAAAACAAACACTAACAACCAACACATTAAATGTTTATTTTTTTATTTGTTGTTCTTCCTTTCTATCCTTCCTCCACCCCCACTCACTATATTACTACTTAAATGATCAGTAGTAGTATCTTGTCAAAGTGATTAGTGTCGAGTTATGTTGTTAGTAGGATACTAGGAAGATTTTTTCAATTGTTGCTCTCTAATCTTAGTTATTATTATTATTATTATTATTATTATTATTATTATTATTATTATTATTATTATTATTATTATTATTATCAACGGTATGTTCGCTTTGAATTTTCGATCATGCCAAGTTAAAAACTTGTGCCTAATTAATCTCCGTCACACTTAGAAGTAGATGAACACTTATCTCTGTCTCTCTCATACGTGTAAATACATCTATCACTGTTATTATTATGACGATTATAGTGAACAGACATATAATGAATTCTATTACGATGTTTACTGATTAATTTACTTAGTTTTATTTATTTGTAGCCTCTATAAACAAACTGTCTTATGTAGAGAGTTAGGTACAATGGATAAAATGTATAAGTGAACACTTGTACACTTCTACACGAGTATGTAGATTGTCTAGATAGACAACTAATGATGTTGTCGTTTGTTGAAAGAACTAATATTTATCATTTATATATGAAGGCAACATGTATGTATATTTGTTTATCTGCCTATCGCTGTTTGTGTGTTTATTTGCATAATGTTGAATTGGGTTAATTGTTTGTATTTGCTATTATGTAACTAGAATCAGTTTGATTTGAATAACATTAAATTTATGGAAGAAGAATTTCAATAGTTGAGATCATGAGTCAATTGAAGCTAGACAATCTTGGAAAACTTGAAAGCACTGAACGGCCGCTTCGTTCTATTGTGGGACTCCTCGGAGGTGTGCATCCACAACCTCGTCTCGCGAGACTCGGACCCAGGACCTATCATTCTCTCTCACGAGCACTTAACCTCTACACCATTGAAGTGGCTGGCATCCAATAGTGTTAATGTCTAACTTCAACTAATCCACGAAATTGAGCGACACATCCACCATTGTCATCAGTGAGTTACTATCTCACAACAGACCCGGTTGAACTCCATTGGTCACTTCTTCTCACTAGAACTTCAGGATACCTCTTGAAGCCAGTCACTAGTGATCATATGTTGATTAGTATCAGTAGGGGTTTTGTGGTGATTTAAATAGTTGACATCGTGAGTCAATTGAAGCTAGACCACCATGGAAAACCTGGAATAATTATTTGATTTGATCACAAAGATTACATACATAAATACTAATTGATAAAAATAATGATTAACTATGAGTAATGATTTTGATATTCATATAGGCAAGTAAGTATTTATGCTAAAGATGAGTTGTTCAGTAATAAATGGTTTGGTATGAATTAATCATAGAATTTTCATAACTTAAATTGCTAACTGATTTTAGCTAGATCACCATTGAAAACTTGAAAGCACTGAATGACCGTTTCATTTTGATATGTGACTCTTTAGCAATACACATGCACATCCTCACCACTAGAGATAAAGTTCAGGAACTTCAATTCCGCACATGGATGTTTTACCTACATACTACTGATCCTCCATTTAATGGTTTGCATGCTTAAATTCTAGAAATCTGTAATATTGCAAAACTCGATGTCCTGGATTCGATCTTTAGTGGATAGATCATAAATGAGGACTGTTGAAGAGTCCTGTATTAGGACAAAACAGTTGCCCAGTGTTTTATGATTTCTGATGGTTGTTTAACTAAAATCATTTCATGATTTAAATTATAAAACCCGATATTTTATTTATGCATGTCTGAATTTGTGGCTATTTGGATCCAATAGTTCAGTCTATAACATGTTGACAGTTTTAACGAAATATACTACCTTAGTTGAATCTCAATATATTATGAATATTGACATTGGAATAAAGCTAGTGCTACATCTATATTCGCCTGCAAAGAGATCCAAATACACATCATGGGATTTCACTGCTCTAATATTGCCATAATCCTAATGGGATAAAACTTGCTTCCTTTATATTTTTCCCATTTGTTTGACCTTTTTTTAAAACTTTTTTTTATCATAAAAAGTTATCATCTCTCCTTTTTCCCCCTATTTCTATTAACAGAATGCTGTAAGGCATAATTTATCATTACATAAATGTTTTCGACGATTGGAAACCACATCTGGTTCAGTTTGGGTTGTTGATGAAAGTGAATATCAAAGACGTAAGGCTAAACGAGCAGTGTAAGTGAAATAACAGTAATAATAAACATTTTTTTGTTTTCTTTATATGTGTATGTGTGATTGAGTGCAGTTTGCATACAAAACAAACAGACAGGAACAATTATAATAACATAATGAAAACTGTACGTACTTTATACCTTTGAAGCATTGCTCCTGTTTTTGTTAGAAACACCGAGTCAGTAATGTAAAGGTTTGATATAGGTTACTACATAATTATGACAAATTGATTGATAAAGTTGCAAATCTTTATCAATTTAAATGGATAGAATATGTGTCAAGTATGCATGACCTACTTCGATGGGAAATGTTTGCTGATTTAAGAGTAGACTGAAATACAGCTAGGAATGGTCGTCAAACAAGAATTTGGGATAACTCTATAAATTTAATGACTATTGGATTGAACTGCGTTGCTCTGTGAAGATTACCTGACTCTAGTTCTCGCAATTATTGCAGCTTATGATTACAGAGACTTTTTCTCCGCAATGAGTATGATCGGTCGAATAGACTTATTTGATGAAACTAACTTACCATTAAACTTCAGATCATAAAAACACTATAACTAAACAAATTTTTTAATACAGTGCACATTTTAGATCACCATAAAGATTGGTTGATTACAGGTGTTTTTATGAATTTCATGGTTGACATCACATAATACTCTTAGTTAAATAATTATTGAAGACCAGGAGACATTAGGACTCCTCAGAAGTGTACATTCAAGATCCTTTTGCCCGGGGGGGGGTCGAGCTCAAGACCTTCTGTCTCAATCAAGAACCCTTAGTCTTCAAGGCAATTGACCCGGCATCGAATAATGTACACATTTAGCTTCAATCAACTCGTGATATTACTCAACCACCTTTCACTAAATGCAATCGATATTTACTTCACGCTCGACACATTTGAAGTCTACTAGTCACAGACTGACGGAGAGGTGTAGTGTAATTCCGGATTTCTAAAAAAAAAGCCTTTCCATGAAAAATGTATTATTTGACTAACAATAATTAAGGAATCAAATAAATTACTACCATTTCAGTGTAATATATACTTTTTCCCCACGTAAAAAAACACAGCAAACCCCAAAAGAAATAATCTAAAGAATGACTCGCAAATCTCATTCACCTTAGGGAGGAATCCAACCGTGTTATTGATTTCTTTCGCTGTATTTTTTTCTACCGGTTGGCGAATACAACATTCAGAATTATGCGTAAACGAGAAACTTATTATAATTCACGTGTTTCTATTGTTCATTCATTCACTGTATTTACTTACTTGCCTACACTTACTTACTGTTCTGACTGTGAATGGATTGAATGAGAAGAAAGCAGCTGATCGATAGTTTAAGTTTTAGAATCAGATTAAAGTAGTTCAACTTTTTTTAGAGAGAGAGCATTGTTTGTTTTGTTAATGAAAGCTTTATATGATGAAATGCTAAATAAAAATACAAATGTGATGTAAACAAATACGCGCATAAATGATACTTTTTAATTTGAGCACAATAAGTGTGCATTTTTAGATTATGATGGTAATTGTAGCTACTTATTTAAAATAAGTAGTTTAGTAGTAGTAGCCTTGTTCAGGAACGACTATCACTTTGGCTTTAGTTACCTAGTTGTCAAGATATGTTCAACTTAAGTTTATTACTGATTTTGAGTAATTAGTAAGACACATCTTCAGTCTTGAGTGGATTGATCTCCTCTAGAATGTTCGAACCCCTGTTACCCAGTATTGTAGTACCCAAATAATTTTATGCCATCATCTTTAACCATTTGATTGTGGTGGTGGTGGTGATGAACATTCAAATATCATGGAGAATGACTGTCCCCTCGAAATTGTATATTCTAATTTGTTGTTAATATTCAGTAATTAATAAGAGTGATTTAAACATTCTACATGGACTATGCCAAAACTGTTCTCATTCCAAGCATACTTTATAATGAATTGCATAAAGGCTTGGGGGGTTTTTATAAATAAAAAAAAAATTCACTGTGCTTTTACAGTTCGCTCAGCTAGCCCATTCTACCTTTATTTCAATGTAGTCCGTTTTTGCCAAACACTTAATTATACGGTCATATTGATATTTCTTATGAAAAGGATTATGCTCTAGCACGTTAGAAATTATAATCAATATGTGTAGTTTCGTAATTGCTCGGTAATAACTTCATTAAATAGATTGTGATAAGTCTGCTAAATGAACTCTCGATGATGTTTTCTAGCTGCTTCTAATAGCCACAAGTTTTCGTCTACATGGCAACATGAACATAAGAGAAAAGACGCAAAGTAGTAGTAGTATTTCAAATGGCCTTGGGCTTGCGGAAGTTTCTGGAACCATACAAAATGTAGTAGCATGTTAGGTAAATATCCCATGAAAACTGATGCACATGATTTTGCATTTTATAGATATTTCTGCAAAGTTTCCATTCAACACGGATTGGACAAAACGTTTCCTGGAGTTTCTGGGCCTCTAGGGATTTAATGAGGGATATTTTTGGAACTCCTCCAACAGTTTACATCACAAGCTGACTTTTGTTAGACAGTCTTTGAAAACTAAGAAACTTTGGGTATCTATTTTGTTTTAATATGGGATTCTTCAGAAGTGTGCATCCTCAACCACACCAGGTCTCAATTTCAGGATCTTCTGATATAACGACGATTGAATAAATTTTAAACAACTGGGCCGGCACCCCAAAGGTATAACGTCAAATTATATATATATATATATATATATATATATATATATATATATATATATATATATATATATATATATATATATATAAATGAACGAATTTCGGTTTCTTATTGCTTGGTCGATCCTGACGATAGATATTGAGTGATCATCATTTTGGCACAAATTTCATTCATCCTTTTGGTTAAATAGCATTATGGCATTTTAACATATGTCAATTCATGATGTAAACTTCAAATCTAATTCCTAACCTTAACAATTAACTGAAAATCATAATTCTAATTCATTACACTTCATGGCACAAGTCTATGAAGTCACTGACAAGTGAACTGAGTCATGTTGGTAGGTGTAGACTACCTGGTTGGAGACCACGAGATGATACCAACCGATGGTTAGAGACCCTGAATGACATGGCTCAAAATCGTTTGCAATGGCGCAGGTGCATCCACTGTTTGTGTTCTCCCTAATTTTGATCTCCTTATTCCTCCTTGTTTCTTTTTTTTCTCTCTCCAAATTTATTTCACTGTATTATACTCTTTAAACGACATCTCCATACCCTAATCTTCCCGATTACTGCTCATACTCTTACTACTTCTACCACTATGGGATTTGAATCGACAACTGCATCTCTGTGCTAATGTGGTGTGGCAACTCGAACTGATGTATGTACATACGAAGTTCTACGTTGTTACTAACTGACTGACTGACTGACAATGGTTTATAACCCTCATTTAGTCCTAGTTAGTAGATGTACATTCTCAGAATCACTTTGGCGTTTTGCTCAAAGGTCATCCATAAATTATAGTCTCACCATAGATACTCCATATCAGTACTTTCTAACTTTCAATAGATGATTAGTTGTTACTATCAATATCATAGATTTTTCTTTAATTTAAAGATGTTAAGAAATGTGAAATTTTTCTCAACCCCCCCCCCCGAAAAATTCCCTATTCAACTTTTTTTCCCCGTTCATTTTGTTTACTGTTACGTAATTGTATTTGAAAATAGACTGAATTTCAAAATTTATCAATAAGCCAGTTTGAATTGAAGGTTTGTTTATTTGTTTGTTTGTGAATATATAGGTGCATGTATGTTTCTATGTCCTTGAGCAAAGTAAATGATAATAATAATAATAATAATAAACTAAGGGAAAACAATCCTTAAAGATTCGTGCCTACCTACACACACACACATGTATGGACGTGTAAACTGTGCACATACATACACAGACGTCTAGACAATTGTACTATTCTTGTCTTCTGTTTTCCATTGATTCAATCGTCCTTCTTCTTCTTCTTAGTATTATTAAAATTAATAGTAGTATTCTATCATCTGCTATTCTTTCATGTTAGGCATAACGGTTATTGTAATACAACAGCTGGGCTGTCATTCCTTATTCTATTCTATTTCCTCTTCTCTTCTCTTCTCACTTCCTTCTTTTGTTTGTCTGTTTATCCATTTGTTTGTTGGGTTTTTTGTTTGTTTATTTACCTATTTATTGATCAAATTGAAGTTGTCTGAAATTGTGTATGTAGATGTTTACAATTCAAACACACATTCTTCCTTTATTCTGGACAGTTTTAATTTCTCTTCATTATTATCTTCCTCTCTCTCTCTCTCTTAAACACGCTATTTACTTTACTAATTTCTTTACTCTACCTCTCACCGTCTATGTTTTCTTTCTTTCTCCCCCCTCTCTCTGTATGTATATGCGTGTGTGTGTTGTTTGACAGAGAGAGAGAGAGTGGATCTGTTTAGGTACATATATATATTCATTCATGTATAGTAGACTGTTTATGGGTTAAACTGTGACATCATATTGATTAATTGTTATTATGATGGCTGATTTTCAGACAAGATTATCGATTTAAGGACTGATTTTTATTTATAAAGAGAGAGAGAGAGAGAGTAACATAGTGTGTGTGTGTGTGTACGTTTTATTTATTTTGGAAGGCTTTGTTTCTTCCTTTATATATAATATAATTATTATTTTGTATCGTTTAGTTCCGGCTTATGTGTTTTTATTGTTCTTATATACATTTATGTTACAATTGCATAACATTTGTCTATTAATTAGTCAATCTTTGCTTGATAGACCTTAACTGTCTTATTGTGTATTATTCCTAGTATTATTTACTAATGAGTTACTTCCATTTATTCCTGATATTATAGTGAATAATTGTGTTTAGTAGATTTCAAAATTATTGGGCGTAAAACATTTATTACCAATTTTATTGATGAGATCTTAAAGTTCTGGTTTCAATCTCTAGTAGGGTCATCGTTGAAGACTTTTTCTGAGAAGTTCCATATTAAG